CTCCAAGAAGTACATGCGACTTTCATCGAATACAGCTTTTCACAAAATTCTATTTTTATCTATGAGATCGAGTATGGAATTTTGTTTACTTACTTTAAATTGAGTATCTGTTTCCCTCCCTTTCCTACTAGGATTGGAAATCCTGTATTTTACTTATCCATACGATTGAGTCCATGGGTTTCCAAAATAGTATAAAAAGAGGTGTTTCAAATCATTACTATTTGATTTGGACCGGTTCTAAAAAAGTTGAGGCATTTCGAATTGTTTGTAACAGTTCCGAATTGAATCTCTTTAGAAAGAAGATCTTTTGTTTGTCTGAGACTGAAGGCTCAAAGGAAAGTCCAAAGAGACAATATTTGCTAGGGGGGCTTGGACTGTTTAGCTCACGATCCTGGGTACAAGGTCTACTAGCTGTAGCACCTTAATCTTAACTGAGTTCATCATGCATACTTTGCTAGGGAGATTGTTCCGATTGTTTTGTTCTAACTCCTCAAGTCTTTTTTTCTCTAACTTTCGCTCATGATTCTAAGGTGCTCAATCTACTGAAGGTATTCTAAACTAGGTCATCATCTAGTCAACCTAACTCTAACGACCTAGCTCGAACTTTACTCCGACTAAGAATAGACTAACTATTAAATATTGCATGGAAATTTCTTTTATCTATATATCTCTAATCTATTATTAACAACTTCCTTTCAATTCTTTTCACTCTACATGAATACCATATTCTATATTTATCACTTCTCAAACAAGAGAAAGAGATGAACAATTTTTTTTTTTTTTATAGATATTACAATATGTTCCCTATAGTAAGTGGGTTCTGGATTATGATCAATAAATAGTTGATCCTAAGATGCTCAATCTATGAAGGCATTTTGACTTAGGTCATCAGCTAGTCAACATAACTCTAACGACCTAGCTCGATGTAGATAAACACGCTTTATAGGGAGAACACAGTCGAAACCTAGAGCTAAAGCTTACTGTATCATGCACATATACAAGCACACAAGTTCAAAGAGGAGATAAACATCCATAAACCACCCACATCACAGATCACAAAAATTCATCCTCCTTTCTAACACAACGAAAAACATATAAAACAACATTCTTCACAAACTTCATTGTATGGGAAGTTTGATAACTTTTTACATTATTCATAACATACTCATCCATATTGTCCAACTCGTATTCTAGTCATGCATACTCTCCTTCTAGCTTTGCATAATACATAAAATAGCATACTACTTTGTAATCTCAATCTTGGAGCATAATGGTACTTTTACCATAACACACATATAGTATATACTCATCTAAAAACACCCTTTCGAAGTCCTTAATATGCATTTCTAACCACCTAAAGTAAGGAATGTTCACACGCTAGCACGTTCTAGTGATCCTTGCAAGTATTACTTGCCTAAAGTTCGTGTTGTTACTTATTTGGATGATGCATGCCTTCCCAAGCTACCTTTTTCACATGTTTGGAGTTCTAAATTTTCTAAAATTTCTCTCATAAGTCCTAATTCAAGTAACATCAGGGTTATTATTGAAATCGAAACGAAAAACAGAAAACAAAAGTCAAATGTCATATGCGCATTCGACTTTGTCAAAATTTTCAGATTTCCAAACTAGATTTCGATTTTTTTTCTATTTTTCAACTTGAATTAATTTAGTTTCTTCATGAAAGTTATAGACTTTTAATCCATATTTACTAAGGTATTTTTTCATAATTTTTAGTCAATCACAATAAAAAATGATTGAGTCTAAATATCGTCCAAGACTAAAAACTTATCAAAATTTTCAGTTTCTTGACATTCATCAAAACGCCACTTTTAAGACCGAATCAATTCCAAAATCTTTCATAAAACTTGTGCAAAATATCTCTAATATTAACATACAAAAAAATTAGAACTTAATTCTATGAATAGGTCTCGAATTTGAAGAAAAGTCAGAATCAAAAACTTGAAAGGCATATCTTCGGTTCTTTCTCGATTTTTGATGGATTTGAACAAATCAAAAGTCCATAATGGTTCTTCCAAAACCACTAAGTTATTCTTATGAAGGAAGTCTAGCGAAAATTCTGACTCCAAACTCCTCTATGGAGCTAATTTTGACTTTCTCTCTAACTCTCTCTCAAGAACCCTAAACGTCCATTTTCTCTCTCCTTTTTTTTTTCTTCTTTTTCTTCATCATTAGTCACCTAATTAGGGATATTCTAGGCCCTTAATTAGCTAAGAGGGATGAAAATGACTGGTTTACTCATTCGAAATTTTTGATAGATTTTTCTAGTTTTTCACTATTTTCTTTTTTCTTTTGTTTGTGAAAAATTTCTATGCATTTTTCTCTTTTACATTATCTTGAAACTTCGTCTTTAAGAAACTTATTAAAATTTTGAAAGTTCAACATTAAAAAAAAAAAAAAAAAAATAGAGATGAATATAAAAATACTCGGTAAAGTAAACTAGTTGTACGCTTTCCTTACCTCCTTACTAGGTTATCACAGACTTTTCTCTAAGCTCTTAAAATCAAGCCTAGTTTAGTTACCTAAACTCTAGAAATGCTTCAAAGTTATGAGCTCATGGGAAGGCCTAGTTTAGTTATGGGGGCTACTAATTACGTTGTAGCACTATAGATCTTCGGGAGGGCAGACCTTATTTCGAGGTGAACCAACTTTTTTTGTTCTCATGCTTAGTAAACTTGCATAGCCTTTGACATGAATGACTAGTACCTTGAATTGAGGTGTGACCTTATCATGTTTATTTGGAATGAGTGGCATCCTTAACATAGGACCATAGTTGATGATTCTTACAAGACCATAGCGTTCATAAAATCTAGGAGAGTAACTCAGCGTGCTTACCAACTACTAAGCCTAGCCATGTGGTTTCACATCCCACTCTCAAGATGGATTTACAGTGGTACGATCCAAGTCAGGAGGCCAGAGTTTTTTCCACACTCACTAGAGGCACTCATCATGAGCTATCTACCTATGTAGTCCTAAGTCCCCTCTCAAGACCAGTGTAGTCTTAAGTATTTTTCAAAACAAGTTTATAGAATTGCAGCCTCTGTCTTAAACTATTTCTACACTTAACAGTGGTACTCTTCTCGAGCAAACTATTCAAATTGTTCCAAGTTCCTCAAATTAAATCCGGTTTATAGAATCGTTCTCTCAATCTTTATCCAATCCTACACTTAATTGTAATTCAAATGGCCTTGGGGTTGATATTAAACTTTTTTCATTATTCTTAGTAGCTGTGGAGGTCATAACATTTTTGAACAAATCTAAAAGTTCTTACCCAAAATCTTGAAGCTTGTTCACACCCGCTTCTCCTTCTTTTTGAATCTTATCAAAGTAGTGATGTGTATGGATGGTTCTTCGCTCAAACCCAACTGGTTTTAGGCCTACAATGATGACACAAGGTTTGAAATTCTTAGTGTGTTTATGGTCGTTTCTATCTCGAGGAAGACAACCTGGTATGTGTACTCACCATCTAGCCCACCAATCAGTCACAAACCTTCCACATGTGACTTCCCCATTGGCCAATTCTCATAACTTGGCATTTAAGTGGCCAATTTGCCAATTTTGGCCCCTTTTTATCTAATTTTACTTTTTTTTTCAAAGAGTTCAGGGCCATTTCTACCGACTATAATTTTAGAGCTAGTTGTGCAATTCTATTTTTCATGGCTAATTTTCCAAATTCCCATCTTCATGGTTATTTTTCCAAATTTATTTTTCACATTTTTTTATTTAAAGGGAAGTCATTAAAAAAAGTTCTTGTGAGAACAACTTTCTTCTCATCTTTTGAGTTGTATGGTGAAGATCTAGACATTTCCAATAAAGAATATCTTACTCATTTGTGACTTACCACACGCTATTAACCCGAGAAAGAAAGAGAAGAAATAACTATCCCTCGATGTAGGTTTTACAACCTCGAGAGATGGCGTGCCATGGCTCATTCAAGGGAAAGATAAGAGAGATAGACAGGTTCTTTTCTTCCCAAAAAAAAAAAAAAAAAAAAAAAAAAAAAAAAAAAAAAAAAAATCTAACAAATGGCAGTACCAGCGGCAGTAGCAGCAAAGGAGGTTGAGGGGAAGGAAAGGGAGAGGAAGGGGAAGGGTAGAGACTAGAGAGGAGAGTCTTTTTAAAAAACATATATTCAACAAATTAATGGTATTCAAAGAGATACCAATAAGACCACATTTTGCATCAATAAATTTGAAAGTTTCTTTGCATAAACAAAGAGGTATGTTTTTAAATCGTTTCCAACCTCCATTGCTTCCAACCATCTCAATCCTACCATGCTTTATAGTACACATACCAATCTTTAAGTGTAATCCTCCAACTTCTTCCAAGAACCTAAACTTCCTCCGGCCATCAAATGATTTTGTTCCCTAATTTTAACATAGCTTTATCGGCAAAAAGAGGTTAAATTCTTTCTTCAAAATCTTGAATATATATATATATATATATATATATTTTNAAAAAAAAAAAAAAAAAAAAAAAATCACAATAAATAAAGGGAAAAAAATGCTTGACTTTCTTTGACGACAAATTCACCTCTTTTTTTTTTCCTCCAAAATTTAAAGGCAACTTAATCTCATAAAATATTTCGAAAAAAATGAATACATAAAGTAACAGTTAAACCTATGCTAAGCGTGTGGGCGTTACAAAACATATTGAAATCATAATAACAAAAAAGTAAGCGAATATAATAAAATTTAAGAAAAGAAAGTTGATGAATACAAAAATTTCACTACACAATTTATGTGCTTCCATAAACTATAACAAAATAATAAGCAAAAGTTATTGGGCCAATATCCAAAGACGCAAAGAACAAAGGGGTGGTGATATTGTTATGATTGAGACAACTGCTTGGTCTATTTTTCAACTGCTTCCATAAAATATTCAACTACGTATGAATTAAGTTACATTGAATGTCTTGAACCAACTTTGTTACATAAAATAATGCCCATCAAACCATGTCCTTAAGTTTTGGATTTGTCAATCTTAATTGACTCTATCAAAGAGCTGCAAATCTTCCATGGCCGCATCTCACAATGAATCCTCTCGAAAGGTGTTGATCACTGGTGTGAGCAAAGGATTAGGAAGAGCCTTAGCGTTGGAGTTGGCTACTCGCGGCCACACCATAATCGGTTGCTCACGTGATCAAACCAAACTTGATTCCCTTCAAGAACAGCTTTCTAAGTCCTCTCTAATTCAGCATTTCCTCTTCAAACTCGATGTGGTATGTAAGTATTTGAATTCCACTTCACAAATTTTACAAAAACTAATTGGAAATGCATGTTTTTTTTTTTGTAGAAATCAAACGACAACGTTGAAGAATTCGCACAAATTGTGGAAAAAGAGAAACTTATTCCTGATATCATTGGTATTTTCGTTCATTCGTTTCTTAATTTGTTATATAAAAAAAAGGGTAATGACATAGTTTTTGGATGTATAGTGAATAATGCAGGTTTGGCTCATGGAAAAGCCAAGATATGGGAACTTGATGTGCGAGATTTTGATAACGTTATTGATACCAATATCAAAGGAACTGCAAATATTTTACGTAATTTTATTCCACTTATGATGCATAACAACTACGGAATTATTGTTAATATGTCATCGAGTGCTGGAAGATCTACCCATGCAGATGTACGTGATTGAATATTAACATCAATTTTACACCAAGATTTTTAAATTATCTTTGATTAGCTTTAGATTTTGTATCGTTTCGAGTATCTAAGTATTTGCATTTGGTTATAACTTATGATGGCATATTTTGGTATTGGTAGTTTGCACCATATTGTTCGTCGAAATGGGCAATCGAGGGATTAAGCAAATCTGTGGCAAAGGAGCTACCAAAGGGCATGGGAATTGTAACATTAAATCCAGGCTCTATATACACGGACATGCTCGTTTTATGCTGTGGTGATTTAGCATCGAAATTTCAATCTCCTGAAAAATGGTATGTGAATACTATTATTCATATGCTTTTTTATCATTTCATTATTGACTTAGTTTTTCTTTTTAAAAATAAACGGGACAGACATTATATAGATGACCATTGGTCCGAAATGGGAGCCTTCTCTGCCTCCATCCATGCCACCTATTTCATTCTCCATTCATAAATCTTAATAAATCAATTTTTTTTCCATAGCGTGATTAGGCTTATAAGTCCGTTTTACTCGTATAACAGGGCTATTAAAGCAGCAACTATGATCCTTGATTTATCACCAGCAAATAATGGTGAGTCTCTCACCGTTAATAATCCACTATGATGGTCCGTATTGTTATATTATTGGACAATGCATTCTTGGATTAAGTGTCGATTCCTAATATATGGTTCGAGATTGCCAATTTGAATTTCTTATTAAGAAATATTTTAATTTTATTTTTTAAAATTAACAATTATATTCAAAATAATTATGATGCTCTATCATATTTAACCTATGAATCTAAATAACATACTTTATTCCACGTATATAATTTATATTTTATATTTATTAGATAGATTAGATATTATTGTTATCATAAATTTTTTCATTCTTCAAAGTGGAGATTCAGCCATTGAAGAAACCAACGGTGGAATTTGTTTTTCTCTGCCGGCGAGAGTTGTTTAAAGATACCGACGGCTGACTTTGTTTTTATATGCCGGCCACAATTTTTAACCCACGCTATATCCAATAATATTCCATAATATTCCATTGCCGTCATAGGATTTATTAAATACAATAAAATACTATTTGAATATATAGTCTCCTTTAATCCCATGTAATATTTCTTGATTGATTTTCTCTCAAGTTTGATTGACAAAGAATTCTTCCAAATCATAAGGGTATGTCATTGCATCCAATAGGCTGAATTTATCTCTCCATCCTTTGATCTCTAACCACCCGAGTCAATCAGGTTAAGTTCAATAATTGTACTAAGTTAGTTATGTACGGATTTTAGGATTTAGATATTTTAGAAATAAATGATTAAATATTTTAAGAATAAATTATCTAGTCCCTATTATAAATGCAAATTCATCCTACTAAGATTTTCATTTGAAGGAATTCCGAGCAGTCTCAAGTAAAAGCAAAGTGTAATAGTATTTTACAAAATGTCTTGTAATCTCTTCTCAATTGGTGTTAACAAATAGTGCAACTGTTTCCCACAAAGAGTTGTGTTCATATGTTGGTATAAGTTGTCTGATCTCTTGAAATTCTTACTATGCTCTATGGTTGCATCTCTGTTTTATTTTGCACATCATAAACAATTTATTGAGATTATTAATGAGTGAGTTTCTTTGTGTCGTGAATAGTTGGTGACTCTACAAGTTTTTTGTTGAGAAAGCTTGTTTGGTATAGTGAGGTATAACTAACATGGTGGATGATTTCCAAAGCGTTGGAGAAATCAAGAAACTCAACAGTAACAATTACAATATGTTGGCAACATGCATGATGTCCTTACAAGGATAGGACCTTAGGAAGGTCGATGGCGGGAGTGAAACTATGTCGCTAAAGAAGGATCCTAATGGCGCCTTGCGCAAATGGAGAATCAAAGCAAGCAAAAGTAATGTTTGCCTAGAAGACCACAATCAAAGAAGAGATGTTAGAGCACATTTAAGATGACAAGTCATCGAAAGAAGCATGTGACACATTTTTAATGTTGTTCTCAAAGAAGAACGATACGAGACTACAACTTCTAGAGAACAATATGTTATCAATCTCATAATATGACATTGATGATTGCTCAGTACTTCCATAGGGTCAAGTCGATATGGAAGGAGATTACTGAACTAGATCCGAAGTTTATTATTACAGAAGCTTGTATGAAAAGGATTATTATCCATAGATAGCGACCATAATATAGAAGTTTTGTTATTCCTGTGCGAGGTCTGCTCAACAATCATTTGTAGAGTTTAAAACATTAGTGCCAGCCTGAAGCCATAACTAAGAAAATGGGAGGCATCATGCTAGAGAATGAAGAAGAAGCCCTCTACACAAGTAAAAGTTGGAGAAACAATAAGCTACATGGATACAAAAATCATGACAAAGGAAGAGTCCACCAAGGAACTGCATAACTTGAGAGAGCTCAGAAGAACAACCTTAAGATTTCTCAAGGGAAGAGATTGGAAGAAATTTGCTACAATTGCGGGAAGAAGGGCTACATGTCCAAGGAATGTTGCCAACCTCTAAAAAGGAGATGGAGGAGGAATAAGATGCAGAGGTACAACGTACCTTAGAAGAAGACAAGCTAGGACTCATTGCGATGGTGAGAGAGCATATCGATTATGAAAATGAATAGATCGTAGATTCAGAATGCTCAAAGCACATGACTGGCAATTGGAGAAAATTGCAAGATAAGAAAGAGTACAAAGGAAGTCATATGGTATGCACAATCAACAATACACAATTGTCAATTGCTCAAATCGGCAATACAATAATCGTGCCTGGTAATAAATCTGACATGGTGTTTTTACATAATGTTTATCATGTATTGTGTATGAAGAATAACTTGTTGTCAGTGTCGCAAATAACAACATTAGGAAACTACGTCTTGTTTGGGCTAGAAGATGTGAAATTCCATGTAGGTGTCAAGATGATAGAAAAGCCAACGAGGGAAGGATGAAGAGTGAAGTTCATTTATGTCCTATCTGTAGAGTCTGCCTATGTAAACAACACTTGGAAGAATGAGACAACAGATCTGTGGCATGCAAGATTGGGACATGTTGGCTACCATAAGTTGAAGCTAATTATGAAGAAATTCATGCTCAAACATATACCTCAACTTGAAATCAAAATAGATGTTGTTTGTGCTGGTTGTCAATATTGTAAAACTCATCAATTAAGATACAAAGAATCAAAGTTTAGAGCAAAGAAACTATTAGAGTTAATTCACTCTGATTTTTTCGATTCAACCAAACAAACATTAATAAACAAGAAGCGATATATGGTGACATCATCGATGACTACTTAAGATATGTGTGAAATTTTTTTAATCAAAGAAAAGTCGGGCAGATTCTCAAAATTTCAAGAATTGATGATTGAAGGAGAAGTAGGAATAAAGATTCGTTGCCAATGTTCAGAGAATGGCGGATAGTACACATCAGATGAGTTTAATAAATATCTACACAAGTGTGGGATAGGTGATCAATTTACATGTGTCGACACGCCACAACAAAATGGTTTAGCATAAAGAAAGAATCGACATGTTGCAAAAATCTATCTAAGCATGATGCACACAAGAATGTAGGAAGATTTTAACTGAAGCTATGTGAACTGTTGCTCATTTGATCAACAAGCTTCCCGAGCCAAGGCTAGGTTTCATCTCACCACTTAAGACACTACGGGACATGAAACCTACAAGGCTCGACTCATAACTTGAGGGTTCTCTCAACAATATGAATTAGATTATGATGAAATGTTTGGTCTAGTGGTGAAGATCATTACCATATGGGTTCTGCTAGCACTCACAACAAGTAAAAATTGAAATTATGGCATATGGATGTGAATAATGCTTTCTTGCACGGAGTTAGACAGAAAAAATTGCATGAACCAACCAAAGGGGTTTGAGAGTGTAGCTAATCGTAATTAGCTATGTAAGCTTAGAAAACTTTTTTATAGATTGAAGCAAGCACCAAGAGCTTAGTATGGTAAGATTGCTGAATTTCTTATTTAAAGTGGTTATTCAGTTGCGCATGCAGACTCAAACTTGTTTATTAAAGAAAGAGAAGAAAAATTGGCAATTTTGTTGGTTTATGCGAACAATTTGATTATCATCGGGACGATGAAAGAGAAATTCATGAAACAAGAGAAAATCTATCGGTGCGCTTTCAAATGAAAAAGCTAGGAGAGCTTAAACACTTCTTAGGACTAGATGTTGATCGCATAGATGAAATATCATTTCTCTGCCAACAAAAGTATACAAGAGATATGCTTCAAAAGTTCGACATGTTAAATGCAAGCAAGTCTCAACATCGATGGAGACAAATTCCAAGATTTATGAACATGAAGGCTCAAAGTTAAATGATCAAATGATATATCAACAACTAGTAGGTAATCTTATCTACTTAACTTTAACTCGACCTGACATTTCTTATCCAGTTGGAGTCATGAGTTGATACATGCAAAGTCTGAAGAAGCCTGATTTGGATGCAGCTCAACGGATCTTGAAAATAGTTATTTGTACAAAATAAATGAAGATTACTTGCTAGTTGGATAATGTGATGTTGACTATGTAGGAGAACCTGATATCCAAAGCTCAACTATTGGGTGTGTGTTCAAGTTTGGTCTTAAAACAATTTGTTGGAGTAGCAAAAGACAACCAATAATATTATTGTCAACTACAGAAGCAGATATAGAGCACCAGATATAGAGCACCAGCCGGAGCAGCTCAAGAAAGTACATGGTCGAAATCTCAATGGAGGATTTGCACCAAAAAATTGACTATCTAATACCACTTCATTGTGATAACTAATCTATCGTTCACCTAGCAAAAAATTTGGTGTTTCATGTTAGAACAAAGCATGTGGAGGTGCACTACCATTTTATTAGATAGAAAGTTCTCAAGGAAGAAAACGAGATGCGGCAAATCTAGATTGATAGTCAGGAGACAGACTTGGTTACAAAAGAGTTGAATATTGACAAATATGAGGGCTTTCGCTATCAATTAACAGGGTATGACAAATGAATTAACATGGTATGATAAATGGAGACTAGTGTTGGGGGACTGTTTAAAGATAATCACTAGCCCAATAGAATTAAACTGAATAATTATATGAGCATATTGTGCATATAGTTTAAGAAAATAATTTAGGTATTTTATCAATAAAAATATCCAAGTATTTTAGGAAAATAATATGGTTTAGTCATGAAAATAACCTCATGCTTTCTAACCTTATTTTCGTGGTCAAAATATGAGGTTGACAAATGATATCAAGAAAATTTTTAAATCGTATTTCACAATGTTTTTTCTTTAGCCCCTAAGAAAAAAGTGGTCGTGGTGGTTGCAATAGAAGTATGACACTGTTAGGATCGCACAACAACGCACACACTTGATCTAGATGAACACAAAGAACAGGATAGAGAAAATGCAAGGAGAACTCTGGCTAAAGAATTTATATTATGAATTCAAGTATGTACCGGAAGAGAGAGAATACAGACAATATAGAAAGTACATTTTCAAATCTCTGCCAAGGGATATATATATATATATGATTTAGCTACTATATTTAGCTTACCAGATATAACCATCTACTATATATAACTATTTACCCTATATAGTTTTACCCGAT